ATCTATCTATCTATCTATCTATCTATCTATCTATCTATCTATCTATCATCATTCTATTGACACATTATAATACAAATATAATGTTGTTTTTGTCAAATGCTTTTGGTTATGTTGATTTTTGTGAAAAACATATTTTGTAATATATATAATTAATAGAAATAGTATTTTGGATGTTGAAGCCAAACCAACTAAAAGTAAAGGTTCAGTGTATGCATTTGTAAATGTTCAGGCTGTGCAACATTTGTGACAATTCATGCATTATCAGTTCCCAGTGAAATGCACCCTCGATGTTTATGATTGACGACTTGTAATTAGATCCAGAGTTATGGCTCTGTGTGCAAAAACACATTACCTTTGGCACACTTTTGGCTGTCAGATGATATGCAAACAGGACATCAGAGGCCAAAGTCAATCACTGCTGTACTTCTGTTCCTCTTTGGTGCTTGTCAGGATGCTACAGAGCTGGGTGCTGTTTTCATTGGCACAGAGAACCATGGCTACTCAGTGTCAGAGAGCAGTGGGCGGGGCACAAGGACAAGCCGGTGGCACTGTAGGATCACACTGGAAACTCCAGAAAGGCAGTTTTTATTTATGTGTGAACACGCACAGGAGCAGAGGGAATGGATAGAGGCCTTCAGAAAAATCATCTCTCAACCCATGACTTCAGAGGACTATGCTAGTAGGACAATGGTTTTCCACAGATACCATGTTTTTTTCTGTTTAAGATTTGTTAGTAAATTACCCTATAAATTGAATGCTGACAGCTAAGTCTTTCCTAACTTTTATTTTTATTTTTTTTACAGATGAGGCCATTTTCAGGCGGGGGGATTGATTTAGACATGTAGACATGTATTAGCTGAGATTCTGGCTTTATAAAAAGCCTTTGAACATAAGAAGAAGTGGATCTTGAAATGGCACCAGCACCATGACAACAACTCATCAAGGCACTCGTTTTCAGTGTACCGTGTACATACTGGAAAAAAATATTGTATTTATTCAACTTTGGATGTTCATTTCTTTTTATGCTTAGAATTTAGTTTTCTATTGATATTTTCTGTATCTGTTAAATTCAAATTGCAGATTTTCTAGAATTTGATTACATTTTATTACATACTTTTGGAAGAAGATAATAAATTGAACAGTAATTTATTCTTTTTAGAACATTTTGATTAACAGTTCTTTATTTACATGAACTAACGACCTTACTCTGGCTTTAAATGCTGTTAACAGCACAACAAGCATGAGTCAGATAAAAAAAAAGCTGGTGTTGCTTTTTCACAATGTTAATATTGTTGACTGTAAACTGTTAATTATCTATCCATTTTCTATAACGCTTTTTCCTAACGGGGTCGCAGAGGGATTAAGGCCTATCTGAGCTGACAATGGGCGAGAGACGGGGTACACCCTGGACAGGTCGCCAGTCCATTGGAGGGGCACACAGAGACAAACAATTCACTATTAGGGGAAATGTATGTTGTGCTCAGACAACTTTGAATGATTTGGACACAGGATATGCCTTAAGGAAGGAAAAATAAGTGTCAGTGAGAATTCATTTTAATTCATTAATTTTTCAGCCATTAGAGAAGCACCATCAGAAAAAAAGTAATACAATGTGAGGGAAATCATAAGCCAGCCTGGAACCCTGGGAAAAAAAATTCTAAACATTTAATCCTATGTCAAGGAATTGTGTTCGTACAAGCTGTGTTATCAAATTAAAACACTGATTATTGATGAATGATATGAACAATTTGGACATTATATTTTAAAAACAATTGTTATTATTGTTAATATTTCTACCCAAATCTTCTTTTCTTCCGTCATATACCAATTGAGACCTATTGGTCACAAAAGAATTTCAGGTTATTTGTATTTGTCATAGATGTATTAATCAAATTCGAGTTAATCTTTCAAATTATATGCAATAAGGATGTGGCTCCTAGTTATCTTTTGTTTGTGGTCAGTACAAGGTTAGGGAAGCAAAACACACTATGGATCCAAATATCCTTCATAAACTGTTTTAAAAAAATAATAATTTATAATTTCACAAGAAAAACTGCATCACTAAAAATGTACACCTTTTAGTTTATTTCTGACACATGATAGATGACACCATAAGAAAAAATAAAAGGTCTCCTTAATAAATCAACATTGTTACGAGAACATTGGCAGTTTACTTGTGACCTTCCAAAAGTTACCATACATTTTCACCTGTTCAAAAAAGTTCCTTAATCATCATAATTATGCTGCAGCACAAATGTACCCAGCAGGTTTCAATAATGTAATTACTGTTAATATTATTCTTGCCTCAAGATGGCGTACGTTAACAGATTTTTCCAGGATGAGATAAAAAAAACAGACGTCTCACTACTTGAATATTTTCCTGGCACGATAAACGCCTCTTGCTCACTAAACATGAAAAGAACTACGAATAGCAATTATTTTAAACTGTCTGTTGTAGAAATTGTATTTACTTGTCTACTCCTATTGTCAAAGCATATAGTGAAGGCAACTATTTCACTTTTAGCCATAGTCAGCTGAATGGTTGAGGCGTGGCGGAAGGCATGAGAAAGCACGCACGCGAGCTCCGCTATCGGCTGTGCGCTCGCTGATGCTGCGGTGTTTTTACCCTCACTGTAACTGTCAGGCTAGTGTGACACGGTTGCCGGTGTAGCATTATCACAGTCTACCCTGTCAGTGTCTGGCAGGCGAAGCAGTATTTTTTAAGAAAGATTTTATTTGTACTCCGGGTGTCGGACGGTTTGTTTGGACTATCCTGTCGTGTCTCGTGCTTTGCGGACCCGTGGAAACCTTAGCGGAGATGCAAACGTAGCCTTAGCGGGCGAGCCGAGCCAGGCCGCGGTGAGCTGGCTGGCTGTATCCCTCCAGCAGAGCGGGAGTTGAATGTCGGACCGGGGCGGGGGGACATGAATGCTGACCACCAACCTCTCAGTCGTCGTCTTGGTTGACTACGTCGGAGAAGATGCGCAAGGACGTGAGGATATTGCTGGTTGGAGAGCGTACGTCTCGCTTTATTTGTGTTTATATCTATAAATTGCTGTTGTGCTCACACGAATGACACTAGCTCAGCGTGTGATGCTGAGAAAATGTCTAAGTCGTCCTTGCTTTGGAATAACTAATTTGTAAAGCCCCTAGTATTAAATTATTTTTTCCTCAATGACTCAGCCTAAACATTATTTTTTTCATTCCACCCCCAGCTAATCCATTCACATAGATCACAATGCTTTTGTAATCCATTATAAGTCATATTAGGGCTCAAAACAACTTTTGTCACTAAAATAACTGCACATCCCTCCACAGCCAAAGTGGGGAAGACATCTCTCATCATGTCTCTGGTCAGTGAGGAGTTCCCAGATGTGGTATGAACACATTTTAGTCAGAGGGACTTTAACATCAATCTTTGGCCTGTTTCTCTGAATTCATGCTGGTACTAACAAATATCTCTCCTAGGTTCCCTACCGAGCTGAAGAGATTACTATACCTGCAGATGTCACACCAGAGAGAGTCCCCACACACATTGTGGATTATTCAGGTGCTTTGGAAACATGGCTGTCTTCTGTTCTTATAGTTTTTTTTTTAGTCCTTTAGGCTTGGCCATGTTGGAAAGAAAAGCACTTCCTTGTTTTATTTTTTTTCTTGCTGTTTTTCTTTTGCCATGATGCCTCTGTTCCCTCCACAGACGCAGAGCAGACAGACGAGCAACTGTTTCAGGAGATTGCTAAGGTCAGTTGTGAATTTTAGGTGATGCAGAGGGGAAGATATTGAAATAAAAATATGGAATCACAGTTATTCTTTGTTGCAGCTCTTCAGGATTTTATGAAAGCTTAGGTGTTGACCTCACAAATGAAAACAATCAGGTACAGATTTAGCTTAAAATGCCATCAAAATCTTCACTTGGATTGGTCATGTCAAAAAACTACATCTTCCTTGAATAAAAGTTTAAGTTATCTTTACCATTAAACAGCATAGACCCTGAAAAAAGTCATCTTTAGAATTTTTATTGTCCATGTGTGCACTGACTTCCACTTAATCACCTACAGCTTGTTTTTAGCTCACAGTTGCCCCGTTTACTGCTCCTAAGTTGCCAGTTGGCATTTAATGTAGATCCCATTTTTTAGAGATGGTTCCTTATTTTTCTTTCTATTTTTCTCAAACTTGAACCCCTGTTTCCAAATGTGTTTTTTTTAAATCTCTGTTCGAGTGCACTTCCCGATTTCATAACATATTAATTTACATCCTCCTGTATGTTTCCCCTTCAAAAACCTTACTGTTTGGTTTGGCTCTGCAGTGGACAAATACAAACTTATAATCATATTCAGACTTTAGCAGGTCATTATTTTAGAAAATGAAAACAAGAGGTGCTTCCATAATGTTGCTTCAACTTAAAATATATTAAAACTTCCAAATATGACCCCCCCTTTTTGAATATAACTTACAGAGCAGAGCATGACGGACTAAACTGTTTCCTTTCTTTTGGTAACATTTTTTTTGTTTACCTTGTTACTTACTTGGTGTCATGCCATAATTCTTTTCAGAGATTTTAGGATACATGTTACAAATTGATAGCTTTGAGCTCGGGTCAAATTTTTAATGGTTCTCTGTGTTTCTTTCATGCATAGGCAAATGTGATTTGCATCGTCTACTCTGTAAATAACAAGAAGTCCATAGAGAAGGTGAGACACCTCTGCTGGCAGCATTTCACTATTTGGTTAAATATCATTTAAAGGATTTAACATATGGGAGCATTGGTGTGGCTCTGTGATATTCAGAAATGATGATATATCTCATGACGGTGAAAACTTATTTATATTCACCTTGACAGGTGACCAGTTACTGGATCCCCCTCATTACGGAAAATACAGACAAGGACAGCAGGTGCGTACACGCAGAAAAAAAGCAGATTCCTGCACAGTGAGATCAGCCACAGCTTTTACAATTTTGATGTGACGTGTGTTCAGGGTTCCTCTAATCCTGGTAGGAAACAAGTCTGACCTTGTGGACCACAGTAGCATGGAGACCATATTGCCCATCATGAACCAGTACTGCGAGATAGAGACCTGTGTGGAGGTGAGGGAATGAAATCTGCTGCAGCCGTTTGATTTAGCTGAATGTTTATACTAACTCACGCAAGGAAATTAATAAACTTTGCAAACAGCAGCTACCCACCCCCGTTTTTTGGTCTACAGGTCACCCACAAGGCAACGTTATTATAATTCCACCATTAGTGCTATTTATTCCCCCATGTTTTATTCTTGTGTTCCAAGCACACAACATGACTCAAATGTCTGTTCTTATGTGCTGTGGTTGGTGGTGAGTTTTCCCTTTTCTAAAAATAATTTTTACTCTGCATACATATGAATTGGGTTGAGTAGAAATCTTTTTTAAAAAGTAAGTTCTTCACATGTCTGCCTGTGGTGTGTTCATTTTAAACAGGTGTGGTAAATCAGGGAAACATCTAAAACCTGCTGGACACGAGCTGGGCACCCCCGCTTTCCAGCAATGCTTATAGCCTCCTTGTTACAGATGGTGTTATTAATTCACAAAAAAAGGAAAGAAAAAAAGTAGAATAATAATACAACTCAATACTGCTGAAGTGAGTGAGATCAAAGTCTGTAAAAACGATTTCTCTGGCACAACAACTATTTGTTTTGAAAAACCTCACAAAATGATTTCATTCAAACTCTATTCATGACAAAAGGAAGTACTTTGTCACTGTTTATTTATTTGTTCCCGGAACACCAATTACATTGAGACTTGTCTCTCCTTTTCCCAATGTTTCTTTATATTCGTTCTATTTGATCCCTTTAAATTCCTGTGCTTCATTACAGGTTATGGTGAGTTTTAACAAGAGCATGTGCACAAGATACACACACACAATTTAATAATCTGTCTTTTGGAGATCAGCACATTAAAAACATTGTGTGTCTGATAACAGAAGAAGGTTAGGAACTTGGGGTACTGGACATCTCTCCCACTTTTCTTTCTTAAGTTTTGCTCCTTTAGTTGTTGAATGTCCTCTTCCAGAGCATCACCTGTGTGTTTATGTTTTTTTTACCGGCTGACCAATTAAACTAGAAGTATTTCTCTGACTGATCCTGTGTCTTAATTCTCTCTCTTGGAACTACTCAGAATGGTGCCAGTAAAAAACTGAAGTGTTTATATTCCAGGCTTCATGTTTCAGAACCACTTGGTGATATTGTTAATAGAAAAAGAAAGAGCAGATGTAATTGTTTTCTTTTTCTTTATTTGTAGTGCTCCGCAAAGAATTTGAAGAACATCTCTGAGCTTTTTTACTATGCCCAAAAGGCGGTTCTCCACCCCACGGGTCCCCTCTACTGCCCTGAGAAAAAAGACGTAAGAGCAAAAGGAAATGTTCTAAATCTTGTGCTCTTTTTGTTACATTCGGTTCTTTGAAGCTTCTTTCGCATCAGAAAAATCTAGCATCTAGTTATTTTGTGAGCAGAAGAAAACAAGTAAAGTCACCGGGCGAGATTTATTATGGATATTTACAATTAAACAACTTGAAACATGCTATAAATGAGCAGAAATGTCCTCGTAAAGAGGAACAGTTTTGATTGGTGGCCCACGTTTTCAGATGAAGCCTCTTTGTGTAAAAGCTCTGACTCGAATCTTCAAAGTGTCGGATCTGGACAATGACGGAATTCTCAATGACAACGAGCTAAACTTCTTCCAGGTAAATTGGCCGTTGTTTTCCGGGGACAAACTAAGTGAAATTGGTTTTGACGTGAGAAACTGTTTTTCATATGACTTCTCACAGCGGACGTGCTTCAACACCCCCCTGGAGCCACAGGCATTGGAGGATGTCAAAAACGTGGTCAGGAAGAATTTGATAGATGGAGTATTTGACAATGGCCTTACTCTTAAAGGTAGGAGGGAGAAAACCAAGGTCTTTTTTATGCCTAATTTTTGCACCTGCCTGAGTTGGATAATTCACCTCTGTTGGCGTCCAGGCTTCCTGTTCCTCCACACACTTTTCATTCAGCGAGGTCGCCATGAAACCACCTGGACAGTTTTGAGGAGATTTGGATACGATGACGACCTGGAGTTAAATCAAGACTACCTCTTCCCTCCGTGAGTCTATGTAAATGTATATATGCATGTGCGTGTATATATATATATATATTTATTTATTTTTATTTTTTTTCACAACATGTAATATTGCATTTCATGTTCCTTAGGCTGAAAATTCCTCCAGACTGCACCACTGAGCTCAATCACAATGCCTACCTCTTCCTCCAGAGTGTCTTTGACAAACATGATAAGGTATGTACCCTGTGTGCCCTCTTACATGTTTACTTTAGTCTCAGGAAACCCTTGGGAACCCCCAAAAATGGCGAAAGGTAAAAAACTACCGCTGCCAGTGCTGCTCCACTGCTGAGGAGCAAATAAACCTGTTGGCTCTGAGGCGGGATTTACAAAATTCCGCAGCCATAAGCAGCCAGGTTGGTAACGATTGTCAAGAATGAAAGTGGCAACATCAGGCTGTCATAGCGATTAGCCTCCAGCCGTGAAAGTGAGCATCAGCCCATCATGTCTGTTTTCCTGAGTTTTACTTTAGCTGCTTCACATTCCCAGGACCGTGATTGCGCCCTGTCGCCCGAAGAGTTGAAGGACTTATTTGACATTTTCCCCTATATGCCCTGGGGCCCGGATGTCAATAACACAGTTTGCACCAATGATGAGGGCTGGATCACATACCAGGGGTATCTTTCACAGTGGACGTAAGTAGTCGGAGCTTTTATATGGATATGTGCAGAGGGGAATAATTTCTGCCTGTGGAGCCCTCTGCTACCAGCCTCACTGTTTCACAAGATACTGTTTGTGGTGGCACTGAATCCTACAGGTTTGGTAAGATGCAAAACATGTGACAGACAATATGTTATATTTTGAATTCTTTACATCTCTGCTGGGTGTAGTTATATTGGCTTTTACTAGATTTTTTTCCTAATTGGTTATTTACAAAACATTTGTGTGACATACATTATTAATTTTACATTATATATCCAGGACATTTCTGAATTTAGGGAAAATGGATAAATATGTTTATATACTATATACATGCGTCTACACAGTAGAACACAGTTCTCTTTTATTTGATTTAACAGTTTTCTCATTAGGATTTAAGGTTACGCTGCATTCAATAGCAACCTGGGAACCTTATTTCCATCCATCCATCCATCCATCCATCCATTGTCCTCCGCTTATCCGGGGTCGGGTCGCGGGGGCAGCAGCCGGAGCAGGGAAATCCAGACTTCCCTCTCCCCGGCCACTTCAGCCAGCTCCTCCGGGGGGATCCCAAGGCGTTCCCAGGCCAGCCGGGACACATAGTCCCTCCAGCGGGTCCTGGGTCTTCCTCTGGGCCTTCTCCCGGTGGGACGAGCCCGGAACACCTCCCCAGGGAGGCGATCAGGAGGCATCCTGATCAGATGCCCGAGCCACCTCAACTGGCTCCTCTCCACGTGGAGGAGCAGCGGCTCTACTCCGAGCCCCTCCCGGATGGCCGAGCTTCTCACCCTAAACCTTAACCTTATTTCCTTGTCAGTAATTTGGGTAACGTTTCCCCAAAAAGGGAGCTTAGACAGTGGGAAAAAACGTAGATCGATGCCATGTTTCTGAAGTACATCAATGGCATCATTGCGTGGCATCAAAGACAAGGCCGGGCTGAAGGAAGACCATAAAAACTGAATGTTCCATTGATGTCTAATCACCAATGGATTTTTCACTCATTTTGAATATGATGTTTGACCTTGACTGTTTCATTGCCCAGGTTAACAACTTATCTGGATGTCCAGCGATGTTTGGAGTATTTGGGCTACCTGGGATACTCAATAGTCGCTGAGCAGGAGTCCCAAGCAGCAGGAATAACAGGCAAGTTTACAGGAATATTAATAAGCTGGGTGGAATGATAAAGTTCAGTAGGTTGTAAATGTAACATCACAGTGACAGGTACTATGATTAAAATTGATATATGATTTATATTTTCTTTTAAAGCTTCATCGTTTATTGCCATATTTTGCCAAACCAGTGTTATGTCAGTTGATCAGCAAAGACAGTGGAAGCCACAATCAGAATTCTGTTTGAGATGTTGATACTTGTGTGGTTTACACCTCAAAACACCACCCCACCCCCTATTCCCTGCAGTGACCAGAGATAAGAAGATTGACCTGCAGAAGAAGCAGACCCAGCGCAGCGTCTTTCAATGTAACATCTTTGGAGACATTGCCAGTGGCAAGAGTGGCTTCCTCCAAGGGTTCCTGGGTAGAAACCTCATGGTAAGAAGAAATTGATTAAAATAAACTAAATACTCCGTGCCATGCTATATTGAATGAGCTGCAATGGAAATGTTTTAAGGTTGCAACCATCAACCACAACATTAATCCCACTGACGGTCGAAGTGATTAGCTCTGATTATCTTATTATAATGGCACCGGTCAAAAGGTGAGCTATACTGGGCAAAAGTCAATGCTTCAAGCTGCCGTGCTCTAATCAGGAAAGGTGGATGAGTATCCAGGATTTGAGGACTTGGAGAAAGCCTGAATTGTGATACCAGATGACTGGGTCAAGGCTTCCCCACAGCAAGTGTTATTAGATGTTATGAGATGTTTCAACATATCTGATCACATTTCCAGACATGGATAAAAACACTGAGAACGTCATCAAAATCATGTTAAATTAGCAGAATTCGTGTTTATTTAGCTCTTCCTAGTGAGGGACTTATCATACTTTGCGACACATTAAATGGGAGTTTTACACCAGTGCATAGTTGGCTCAGCTCGACTGTATGCATCTCCTTACACTTACAATTTTAGTACCTATTCAGCTGGGGCTCCCAAGTTGGTTGAGAAGTGCAAATTGGCCAGGGAGACCCATGACACGATAATCAACTCCCTCATGTGAACCCCCATCTATTATTAAAACATGGCAATAACAAACATCTGATTTAATTATTTCTATGATCATCAACATTGTAAATTAAAAAAATACATGAACCAACACCTCTAACCAACACTGAGGTTCAGCTGGTATATTGTCACCACGATGTCCTTCATAGCTGTCTCCTGCTTGTTTCAGATACAAATGATGCTAAGGGCTGACCGCTGCCTTTCTGTTGGGACCTCATTTAAAATAAAAATAAAAAAACTGCCTAAACTGAGTATGGAGGAATACCTACTAATGAAAAACCCCATTACACGCACCCTCTACATGAGATTAAATTTTTTTTCTTTCTTTTCCTTTCTTCAGCGACAAAAGACAATTAAGGAGGAACACAAGTCCTACTATGCCATTAGTACGACCTATGTTTACGGCCAAGAGAAGTACCTTCTTGTGAGTGTCTAAAAAAAACTTTTCCGTTGCTATTTATAGTTTTGTTAATTAGTAATGTTTTCAAAATTTCCTGAACAGTTATTTCAGTGCTGACAAACTGGAGTTAAAGCTCACATTTGGAACTTAAATATGCTAGTTGTCGTTTTAAAACATGTTCAAAACCTGTTCAAAACCTGTTTTCCTGTTACGCATTGTATCTATGAAACCAAGAGGGCTCTCCCACCTTAGAGTGCTTAAGCAGGCCAGTTGTATAAGCTTCTTATCAAGATCACCGGTGCATTTGTCTATTAAGCACTGTAAAGCACCTGCTTTACAAAAGCATCCGCACTGCTTACCGTTTGACTTCAGCTAGGCCCAGTTTATGACATCACCGAAGAAAGAAGGAAGGAAGGAAGGAATCAATTATGGCCCGTGTGTAAACACAATGCTGCTAGAGGGGAAATAAACAAGTCCTTTTCATTCTTCCACTTTTTTCTTTATGTCAGCTGACAAGGGGTCCTTCCGAGCAACCTAGAGAAGTGTTGTAAAAAATATAAATATGCCTATCTCATGACCAGAGCAGGGAACGTAGTTTTAAATCCAGTCCATATTTTCTTTTTGCGGCTGATTAAACATGCCCTCTGTTCCCTTCCAGCTTCATGAGGTATTCCCTGACTTCGAGTACCTATCTGATGCCGACCTGGCTTGTGACATTGTCTGCCTGGTTTATGATGTCAGCAACCCTTACTCTTTTGAATACTGCACCAAAGTCTTCAAGGTAGAACTGTGTCCAGTGTTGATGAAATACCAAAAGTTTGAACTTTCGCATGCTGTAAAAAAAAAAAAAAAAAAGGCCATAGCAGATGTCCCCTCCCCCTTTAGCAATACTTCATGGACAGCAAGACGCCATGCATGATGATCGCGGCGAAGTCCGACCTGCCGGAGGTCAAACAGGCATATGGCTGCAGTCCTCTGGAATTCTGCAGGAGGCACAAGATGCCACCCCCTCAGTCCTTCACCTGCAATACAACAGCAGAGCCCTGCAGAGACATCTACACCAAGCTAACCACCATGGCCATGCACCCGTATGTATATGGTCATTTCAGACTCTACCTTTATATGACAGGGCTACTTTGCTTATCTTACAGATTAGTTGTCACATATACTACCTTAAAAGAAGGATGCTTTTGCTATGTTTGACACTTATTAATGTTCTGGCCTCTGGATTAACTGCTTTGTGTGAGATGCCAGAAGGTTTTGCATTGTGTACATAGGAGCTCCCTGCAGAGCTTTAATGCTGATGTCTGACAGTCTGTCAACACAAACTACTTCTCTTTACTTATCGGTCTGTGACTGCAGCCAGAGAAATGTTCGCCGATTTCAATAACAGTCAAGAAGAAGCATGTTAATTGAATTTCTTATTTATTTATGTATCGTGGTGTAAAAGCGAAACGATTTTAAAGGCTAATTCTTTCCTTCTTTTAATGAATCCAGCTCAGAGCTTTTCTTTTCTTTTCACTGGACTGGACTCGGCAGTGGTGGCTTGTTTGGACTAACATTTTCCTTTTTTTCTTTATTATGTGTGTGTGTTGTCCAACCCTGTACATCTGTAAACCGCACTGTATGTTGTTATTTCTCCTCAGCCATGCTCGTCTGCGCTGCATGTGCACCTGTAACCGGTGCACATTCTGCCTGTGTCAGAATTTCCTCAACTCTGAGCTGCTGCAGACTGTCAGGGCCAAACTCTACGCTGTGGTGCTTAGAAGGTCTCTTAAAAACTTCATTTTCTTTTTCTTCCCTGTTCTTTTGTGTTTCTTTGCCATCAGTGCGTGCTTATTGTTATTGATTCCTATTTGTCATTCTGCTAATCACCGTTGGGTGTTGCAATAAATCCTCACAGCAGGCAGCTGCAGGCACCGCTTATAGAAAAAGAATTAAACAGTTGTATCATTGCTTCATGAATTTATATTCTCTCTGCTTTACAATTCACAGTAATAATGGCTTTATTAGTTATTTTTTAAAGTGATTAAACAATGTTTTAAAAGTTTCTTGTGACGATTTTACACTTGCATTTGGATAGAAAATATGTTCACAGCAGTTAATTAAGAAATTTGCTAAGATAACTAGCAAAACATTTTACTGTTTGAACCAGACTGAAAATCCATATATCGTATGAGCACCCCTTATCCTTGAACAAAAATGGAACTTTCTTTGACAAGTCTTCAAGAATAGCTCCCAAGGCCTCTTGAAGGACGTCCCAAAGCTCCTCATTGGACTTCGGCATGTGCATTATGTGTTTTTTGGTGACTTTTTATTTAAAGGGGACATATTATGCAAAACCAAGTTTTTAATCATTTGATTATGTGCATTTGGGACTGTGAAGGGCCTATCAGCAGGCAAAGTGTGAAAAAAAAAGACTCAGTCATATTTTTGTGGGCTGCCTCAGTCTCAATACAGGAGATAATTCAGGAGGTTTTAGGAATCTGTAGTTTATGACGTCATTAGCTCTAGCTCATTATAATATTCCAGCCTGCATGTTGCCACCCACCTCAGCTTATTCCAGTAAATAAGTTTTCCAGCAAATTTTGCACGATTTAGATTAAAGTTAATGCCAGCAGACTTTGACTTTTCATCTCACATGCTTTCATTGAACTCCTTTTGTATCAGTATTGATATATCCTGGGTGTGCCTCTGTTTTACAGACAACTAAGCCAAGCAGACCTGACCAGCTCTACATTCTGGTTGCGGGCGAGCGTCGGGGCATCTGTGTTTGCAGTGCTGGGCTTTGCCATGTACAGAGCGTTGCTGAAAACACGGTGATCCACCAGCACAGAGCCCGCCCTCATGACCATGGTACCATAGGGAGCCATTTTATTTGCTTTCTTTAAAAAAAAAGAACTTTCATTATCCCATAGTTTTGTGGTCCCATATAGAGAAGTCATTTAAAAAACTAAATCTAATTTTAGGTGGGCAGGTGACACACACGAGACAAATGGACATTGGCTCTTCAAGGGCATAGAAGAAAAAATATTTTCATTTTGTACTTAATTGCTAATATACATAACCTCCTTTCCAAGTGAGTAAAGATAATGTATTTATATTTATATGACAATATGGATAAGCTGCTGTCTCATAATGATTATGATATACAAAGTTTATTAGCCTTCGCCCTTCGTTTGATTGCTGATTGATGGGATGATTACCTCAGTGTCACAGGCTTTGTAATGTATAAGGTATGTTGTGTAAACACTGTATATAACACGGACTGCTTATTCTCAATGAGACAAATCTGATTGATGTGGTACTTATTTAACATCCTGCTCATGCACTAGTACTACCTTTGACTTCAATTATCCATACAGGCAGCCAAATTCCTTTTCTCTATTCTTGCACACGAGAAATGATCATCCATGGATATGAAAGAAAAATTAACTCTTCACTGCTTTCTTATGTTTCCCCAAATTGGGTCATTTTATTATCCACATTTTCTGTATGTGTGTGCTTTATGTGCTTCAACCCAACGTTTGTTTTGTCTGAGCATGCTGCCAAATTTCAGAGCATATTCCAATGTTTTAGAACTTTCAAATTCAAATAAATTGCTCCACCATTTTGAGTTGTTTTCTGTGTCCTTTTTAATCTTTAATAGTACCCTTTGTTGTTATGTAATGGCTTGTGTTATTAAAAGAAAGGTAAGACATTGCTCTTCACAACCAGCATATACTGTATGTAATACTAGAGAAACATATAGCTTTGGGGAGATATGGAAAAACAGAGCAGCAACTTGGCTTAACAAATGCCATGAATATTATCGTATTATTTCTTTTCTGAATATTCGTGAAAAATGGGAGAAATCACTTAATAAAAACACTTTATAACCCCTTTATTAAAGTTGTCAGAAAACAAAAAAGACAAGTAGACTTAAATGTTAAATTGTTGTCAAACTGTAGGTCATTTCAGCTATTAATACTGATCTTACTGTTGCAAATTTATGATAAGGCTTTAAAGTTCAGTTAATTTTTATAGCATTTTCCAAAGTTAAATTATGTCTTTATTGTAGTATGATAAAGTTGATTCTTTTAAATCAGCCAAGAGCTTTTTTCTTTTTATTGTGAAAGAATTCAGGTATTTCAGGTAATGTTATCCATAGGTGTTTGTATCATGAGTAAGAAAAAGCAAAACCATGTTTTTAAAACGGTTGATCAAGTAGTTTCTCATTTATTTTTTATTCCTTTGTACTTGATACCCCATCACATGGTTAACATTGTGTCTTTGTTGGGACAGTAGAGGGCATTGTTACTTTAAAAAAGAAAGCTGTCCGTAGAATACTTTAAAAATTCTGTGTGAAACTGACCTTAACCTGTTGATGTGTTTAGAAATATCAGCACCCGTTATGATTCAGCTTATAAGGGTAGGTGACAACCCCAGAGCATAATAAGGTATATTTTATATTACTTAGTGGAATATTTAGGTCTTTGTTATTTGTTGTTGCATTTATTTTATTATAGAAGTAAACATTAAATGAATCTGTTGTGTCAATCATCATAAAATGGCATCACATGAAAGCCACCTATGGTTGTGATGTTTTCATAACAAATGTGAGCATGGAGGATGGATAATAACCCATTCTAAATGGAAATTGGGAGTCAGATTGATTAAATATCCACAGCTTATGATTCTGAGTAACTACCTTTGGACATATGAAAATTAGCAATCTTCTGAATCTTGACACCCGACAATTCCCTAAAAGCCCTAAATGTTAACAATACAATACAAAATAAAACTCCTCATGTGTTGTGTTCACTTTTTAGTGTGCTTGATGTGGTTTGGACTGAGTTAATCAGGTTGCATATAAATGTTTCAGATCTGTATGAATTATCCCCTGAGATATTTCCAGTTGCAATGATTTAAGAAAGGGGAAAGTGTTTTTGCTTATCTTTTGATGTCATGTTTCCCATCATCACAAAGCCTGGAACTTGAAACAGTCAAGTCACTCTCAGACTTTTAAACCTTATGTTTGTAAGTTTAAAGTTTTTCCAGAAGGTTTCTGTATTTAAATTGGCTAAAATGAGTAATTAGTAAGTAAGTAATATTTGTTGCTACTGCATGAACAGGAACTAGTTGAAAAGAATCATTGGATAACACTGAACTCACATACAGTGAAGCTGCAGAGAATTCCCATTTTTGTGAACAATCGACCATATATGATATTGTCTCCTTGCTCTATTATTGCTGTAGCTCTGAACCATCAATGTGAGTTTTATTTCTAAGCTAGCCAAACATAAATCAAAGGTATCAACGCTTGTCAATAGGCTAGTTTTAATTTCAGCAAAATTTCAGAATATTTTATTGTACTGCAATTATGTTTAGAAACATGTTGTTTTTAGTTTAACCTCTTAAATCACATCATCAGTGATAAGATGAGGCATGAAATGTTTTTAGGGAGCACTCCTTTCTTTTGAGACTTGAAACGAAAGAAACTGCAGAGACACATGTTTGATTTTGCAATTTAGCTTACTGCTGAGTGAAAAAACATTATTCACTTTGATTATCTACTACACAGTTGTCTTTATACTTAAGATCTCTGCTTCCTCCAACTGAGAATGGTATTGCCTAAACAGGACTGAAAATCCTGAAATGTCCACTTCACTAAGAACTATAGAGGTTTTGGATGTTCCACAATGGAAAAGCAGGTTGCATACCTTTATGCCATCCTCTGAGAACAAACTTTACCTAAATAAAGTAAACAATTGAAGATTTAGATTGATCATAAAAAACATGTTCAGCAGTATTTTCATTGAGTGACTCACTTCCATTAGAATAATTTCCAATGAATGCATTTGGAACCTGGAGGATGGTGTTAATGAGAGGGTGTACATTAGTGCAAATTCATCTGTGGTTAGCAACTGCACACAGCCCTCAGTTGCTCTGCTGTGACGCCACAGCAACACTCCTTAGCTGTGAATTTATACACTTGTAAAGTTCTCCCACATACCAAGTGTTCTACGCTGTACTTCTTGTCTTCTTCTGGTTCACACTCTCTTCCCTTGCCACCTCTTCCTCTCCTTTTACAACACTTAACGCTGATGTTAGCTCAAGACCTGCAAAAACGAGATATGTCAAAGCAAAGGGCTTTGTCAGAGTAGCTGCTTTTAAAGGAAATGCTCATTATGTTCCATCCTTATTCCTCTGTGAGATGTAAAATAAAACATTAATTGCATTGAAAGTCTGTGAAAAAAAATTAATTGGTTCATTTGACTCAGTTTTTGTTATTTTTCACAAGTGCATGTTGTACTCCCTGCATTTTTTAGCAATATGATAATGTGATTCCTTGTAAAGATTTTTATCTGCACAAATAAGTTATACAATCCAGGAACAATGTTAATGCTATTAAACAGCTCGTGATATTTCATGAACTGATCAATAGATCAGAAAGGCAATACATTTGAATAATTCATAGGTTAAAAAAATACCCACAATACATTTATCTCTAACTTTAGGCAGAAGCAACATGGATTTTAACACTAAAAAAGAGCCAAGACCTAATTAATTGCTGATGTGTAGAAATCGAACAACACCCTCAGGGATTGAAATATGCCAAGCAGCCATATTGTTTCCATGGCAATGTAATCACAGCATTGTGGATTTACACCAAGTAGATCAACCTGCACATTACAGACCACACACGATAACTCATCTACCTGGCCTCCAACTATCTATTAAATCTGTTTGATGTCTCACGCAGTAATAGATAGGTGTTTGAAATGGGAGTTTGGATGACTGTAGCCCGAGCAGACCTGCGTGGGGCTATTCAAATCCCCAGAAACGATCGGGAAACAAGCCTGTATCCTGTCAAACTTCCAGAGAAACGTGTCGTTTATAACACGAGATGAGTGGCAGTTTTTGACATATGAGCTGTGACTCCCAGCTGCAGGAGTTTCCTCGAAATCCTTCAGCTGGAGTCACCGGTGATCCCTCCTCTCTGCTTGTCTCCCCTTCGTCGTTTCTCCTCCCCCCACCCTCTCTCTCTCTCTCCATCTGTGGGAGTATAGCCTACCCGGGGAGGACGAATTACGCCTTCTTTACGCCTTTTTAAAGCGGGACTAACCACCTCAGCTTACTCGGTCGTTTACGTTTCCCATAGGCGAAGAAATCAGACGACTGTCTTCGTTTTTCCCCCCAGCCGTCGACCTGCAGGAAAAGAGTGAGTTCCAGGTGTCATGACGCACCAACAAAATTGCCACACGCGCCAACTTCTCTCCCCCAATGTGCCACGTGCGCACGTGGTTTGAGTCGACTTTCACCGGCTGCTATAATGCACAAAACGGCCACAGGATACTTGGTGCGTCATCGAAGAACAGCTGTGTGGGGTTGTCGCTGTTGGTGATGTCATTGCTTATTTCACACGGATCCACCGCTCCTCCTGCGTCTGGTCTTTGAAAGTGAAGCGAGAGTGAAGCAAAGCCTAAAAAACTTGGACTGTTTCCCAACATTTTTCGTGGCTCTGCTCCAGATCTGAAGTCATATGACCCCCTGCTGCTTTGAGGCAAAAGACCGAGCGACACCGATCACTGAACTTAAATCAACTTTTGTTTTCTTTTACGCAGATGAAGAGTTGCTTGTGCTTGAAATTCCTGGAATACAGACGCATTGACCGTCTTATCTAAAAAAAAAAAGAAAAAAAGAAGAAGATGGATGTAAACCCCAGTATATAGGAACACTGAGGATCTGTTCGTGGATGTATGGAGAGGAGCAGCCCGAGGATGACTGGCGGAACCCGGGAACCCGGGAACATACCGGTGAACATCTCCCCGGCGGTGGCG